GCCCTATATCAACCAAGGGGTAAATGGACGGGAAACTGACCTTTCAAGCGTTCTACATCCATCACTGCCCAGCAAAATTAACTCATCTAATTGTCTTCATCAACCGATAAATTTGGACTTCATCTGAACAGGTCTACCTATAACAAACATGCCTTTGGCCTTTCAAGGGTCCAACAAACGTCATTTTCTATCAACATTGACCTGTCCGTTTTTTTAGCCCTTTTTTATAACACTCTCCTTAAACTTTGAATTGTTTATGGACAGAATACGAAGATGAATCCCTTGGGCATTTATACAGGCAAAATAAAGTAGATCGGATCTAAATTTCTCCGCCGCTACAAGAATGTGCGTGTGTTTATCTTTGCGTCTCTCTCTCCCTCTCTTTCTGTGTGTGTGTGTGTGCGCGCGTGTTTTAGTGAAGTAGACTTCTTTATTTCATCTTAGAGCACAACGTTACATTTACTTGACAATGTGTGCACGCGCTGGAGTGTGCGCGTTCTTGTGGTATTTGTACATGTAGCATGGATCTTGGGGGCTTATATACATGTACATCAACTGCGTGAACACAGCTGCTACTTTCTGCCTCAAAAATAAAGGCATCCGCTTTTCCGCTGAACTCAATTTGTGCGGAGGGGAAGCAAGGTGTGTTAATATCTTTAGTTGATTTTTAAACGTGTCAGTTAAGGCGAAATTAAGAAGACTGGCTTGTAATGAACACTATTAGCGCCTGTCAAGTGTGCTGAAATACAATATTGACGAAGCACGTTTTTTTAACAAAAAACCGGACATGTTGCAAAAGGACTCCCGTTTACTCAGACTTAGGCATCGTTCAGTTAGTATTCTTGATGTATTACTCATACATGAAAGGCCTTAGGCGAGGTTCCATTAACTCGTGGCGTGAAGCTCAAATATTTAAAGGTGTTTATTTAGATTCATATTTAAAACAAGTGCTCATGTACATCCATTCCGCTTACAGATATAGGTAGACATTTGACTTAACATAAGCATGTGTATTTTTCGGTAATCTGATGATCTCGAAGCTGTAGCCATAGGGTATATATAAGTACTGGAAATTAATATCTGAGATATAGCTCCAAACAGAACTCTCGAGTCTGTGTACAGATTGGCACTAGAAATGTTAAAAGGAAGAATAAATAGATGTAAAACAAGGGCCTCATACCTACACCGTACCCTAAAGACCTCTCCCTGACACCTGTCTGCGCGCTTTATCTACCTGTGCTTTCATCCTCAATAAAAAAGTGAAATATTTTTCCTGGAGCGGGAATGCACACAATGTACGTACATGAAGAATTATTATTACTACATCTATTATTATTATTATTATTATTATTATTATTATTATTATTATTAAGAGGTAGTAGTAGTAGTAGTAGTAATATTCATTCACTTGACATTAGGAATTGGTACCGTACGGCAAACCGTACAGCAATTCGCAACAAGACAGCAATGGAGAATACACTTAATTACAAAAAATTATAATAATCATCTTATATGTATCATTTTAGTTAGTTTTATTATAATAATAAATATGTTTCATGTGATGTAAATATTTCGGCAAAGTTACAGTATTTTACACAGTTGCTCCCTCTACAATATCCCTGCGTTTGCAAGTCCTATCAAAAATGTCTTTTTTTTTCTTTGTCACTTCCGAAATGCATATAGAGACCGGTGGATTTAACTTGTGACGGCAATAATCAGAAATTCGGAACCCGAAACTTTGTTTGTAGGTCGTGATTTTTCTCCTGTTTAAAGGTTTAATTCGCATAGTAGGCCTACGCCTTTAAACAGACATCAGTGAAATTATAATACAGAGATCCTCAGTAAACAAGTGATACAACACGCTGAGTGTAAAACACACCCTTTGGTGCAGTGTTATCAGAGGGCAGCAATACTACAAACTTGACCGTGCTGCACGCTTTGAAAACAAACACGACACCGACCAATACAAAGATGGAACTAGAGACCACGAGTCGGGACTGTTATCTAAACAGCTCGCTGTATTGAGCTTTTTGTTACGGGAGTTTTCATAGTTTCTTAGGGAGCATTCTGTACTGAAATTGCGGTATAATGGGCTATTATTTAAAGTGTGGGGGAGATTAGAGTGCACCAAAGGTGTGTATGCGCGTGTATTAGTATATTGTTTTGGACCCCTCCCCCTTCTTAGGTATAGCCAGAACAGTTTCTGTTTGATCGTCTCTCTCTCTCTCTCTTTCTCTCTCTCTCTCTCTCTCTCTCTCACACACACACACACACACACGCGCGCGCAAACTCACCTGGTGTTGTTGTAGATCTCCGCCAGTGCCTTCGCCTCCACCCTCCGCGTTCACCGGCACTCCCCTTGAGGAGTAGATCCACAGAAAACAGCCACACCATTACTGTCACTAGCCCAGTTTTACTCTGGAAACTTTTCGCCATATTAAACGCCGTTTAAAGTCAAACCTTAAGCCCTTCCTTTTGTCTATTGATTAATCACCCGGTGTTTGCACTGTTTGTCAGACGCCGCTGGTATTAACTTTATATAGAACAATTAACCTTCATAGCCCCAAGTCTTTAAATCTCCTTTTCTTAATGGTTGACGACCTCGTTAAAACTTGATGTGATGAATTAATGTGCCGAAACTTTGAAGTCTCTCTTCCTCTTTTCCTTATTCTCTCTCGTCACTCTCTCCAGCCTTAGCCCAGAATAGTCAATATATATATATATACATATATACACTACGTGTGTACTGACTGCTGTGACTGTTTTGGTGATTGTGAATCAGTTTCGATGAATGCGTGTATACATAGGTCTCATAATCCGGGATCCCTGTTCAGCGTGGGCATACGCTACAGTTTCTATGTAGTCACCTGTATTGCTCCCGCTGGCCCCACTTATTGCTCCATGGACGCTAGTGGCAATTTCTTAGCAGTTTTATTTGTTCGGTGTGGTTAAGAATCCTATGCCGTGTTTCAGCCCTGGGTATAAGAAGTAGCGCATACCTATTGCATGTTAATTCTTCGTGACGTTCATCGGCGTTAAATCCTGTGGCGCCTCAACTGAAACAAAGAAATATAGATTTGCGTAAACCGATTTGCTCCCGTGAAGTTGGTCGGTTCAAATTCAATGTTGATACCATAAGGAACAATGAACGAGTCAGCTGAAACAGAAACATTGATCAGTGTAAACAACTTTGCACTCGGTGTTCTGAAACTGGAAAGAATTTTGTTCGAGTTTTGTCGCCTTCTAAACAACGAATAACTTATACATTCCTCTACAGAAACAGAAATGAAATATATATAAACCAGCAAAGGCTAGTTGCTATCTTTTTCTGGTATTTCACAGATGTCACTTTGTTAGAGTCTGTACAGCGTCAAACTATGACGCTAATCAGACGTCTTCGGTCGGCGGCTAGTACGTCAGAAATTCCTCCGTCACACCAGAGAATTTTATAGGACGCACTCACACTAAACTCTGATAGCCCGAACCTGAATTCCGTCTGTGATCCTTACAAAAAGGCTGTCCTAAAAATATAACTTCGTGCACCAGTTATCCGAGCAAATTTTGTATCCCGCTGATATTTCCAATCGAAAATCTTTTAAGATTTACGTTGTGTGGACACCAGCTTGGGATACAACTGATCAGCTTTTGTCATTAAGACCGATTCGCTATGTCCTTAGAGTGAACGCAGCTTTGTATTTTTCTCACCAGACTCATTCACCATGGTCATTATCAGGCAGAAACAGAAGTTGCAGCTCGGCTGATACGCGGTCGTTCTCCGGATCTCGTTCCGTTCCGGTTCACTGGCCACTCCAAGTCACGATAGTAGGTCTCAGTTTGTGTGGATGATCGGTACCCTGGTTTTCATGGTTATTTCTGCGCCCCCCTTCCCCTCTCCAGCATAAGAGTTATATATGGATTATTTTAGAGAACACCCTCCGAAATATTGGGTGAGAGTTGATGACTCAAGGAACACAGTCGATACATAATTGTGGGTTTCCCTTAGTAATGAAATCATGTCTTTGTAAACAAACGTTGTTGTTCAGCCCCTCAGTATCAGTGCACTCACTTTGTCCAGAGCATACATGTGCAATGTTGATACATACACTCGGCCAATAAAGTTCGGAAACGTCGTTATTTTGAATAATTATAAAATTACCATAGGAGCTAAGGTAAATATATTTTTACCAAATATTGATGGATAATGCACCCATCAACCGTTACTTTTTTATATACACCGACAGACAGCTTATATGACAAAAGGAATAAACTGACCTTTCTCTGACACTCAGGTTGACAAAGAGTGTGATGACAGAGGAAAGCCACTGACAGTGCTCTGACATTAACAGAGTGACACACAGCGTAATAATAAAGTAAAGAAAAAACAGATCACTGGTTTTTCAGGACGAAGAAATTACATTTATATATCTCTCTTTCACTCAGCGTTCTGCGTCGCTAAAAATTTACAACGTCGAGTCTCATTTTATGCTAAACACGTACGTGTCCACAACGTACTTACAGATGCGTTTATTCCAATACCCAGCACGAACGCAAGTCCATATAATCCTCGTTGCCTCCCTGGCTTCAACGCGTTCACGTTATGCCAGCTTTCCAGATAACCGCACACACGCGGCTTTAACGTCTTTATCATACACTATTGACCGTTTACTCTCCCCGGTGAAGTGGTCGTCGTTCGTGTAGTGTTATCGCTCTTCAGGAAATACTTACCTATTGATCACCCATTTCCCGTAGAAAGAACGACAGCCTCCAAGGCACTGTATTTCCAGAGGGTCATTTTGTATGTAAAATTGTTATCAGACACAATTAGAGCGCTTCGAAAACACGTACTGTAATTCAATTATTTTGCCATTAAGGTGCCTGGAAAGGATAATTAAAAAAAAAAAAGAGAGAGAGAGAGAGAGAGAGCTGCGCTTCCACTACGATGCCTTTCTCAAAAATAAAACTTACCGGTTGTATTGTGCCATTGCTGTACCACTTAGTTCATAGGCTGCGGCTTTCTAACAGGAGACCAGGAAATTCGAACCATACTTCCTCTAAACCCCACCGTGTCTTTAATAACTCTCTCATCCTTAATTGAACTCTATGTATCCACTACCGTGTCCTTTGCTAGGTCTAGTATATAAGGTGGAAGTAGTGTCGGAAAGCGTGGTGGTATGATATATCAGCTTCTCACTAGCTCGTCCAGATAATCTTACCTGTACACATATGACTCATTCATTCATTCGTCTTCCACTGCCAAATCTCCCCGGCGGCGAGGGGACGAACTGAGGGGCTACGAAACGGGTGACCCGGAACGCGGTCAGAAACGTGTGGGCGTTAAGCCGTTCCGTGGGCGAAGTGAACAAAATATCTTTAAGTTATTTTTACAATTTTTTAATTAACGTTTCAGATGCAATAATCTGCTTTAGTCCGCTCGCCTTAATATTTTTTCAATTATAAAAGGTACCCATGCCCCGCCCACACACACACACACACACACACGCACACACGGAGAGAGAGAGAGAGAGGCAGAAAGAGAGAGAGAGAAAGAGAGAGAGACGGAGAGATACTTAACATGTACATCGAGTTGGGATTGGTTGTTTTTTCCACTTTGAAACCAATAAAAAAATTAAACACTTCTGACAGACCGCCAATATCTGAATGTTTTCACACTATAGGGAACAGCATTGTTTTCTACATTCTCATGCCTGCTTTAAATTTTGTAACTGATCGTATTTCCCCTTATTTCCTAGTTCTCAATGTGCGGTTTAGTATTCTGTTTCTGATTCCCTTAATTCTTTTTTCGATAAATGAGCGTAATGAATCGCTACAGAAAGTGTGGGGAACTTAAACATGAAATAGTCAACAAATAGACTTCTTATGTGAGTATGGCTCGGCATAACTGTCACCTTTTTTTATCTATACAGACATAATTTAGTATTGTTAGCTTGAAAATGTTACCGTAACTGTGGAAACAAGTGACGACCTCTGCTCATCCGCTTTTATCCTTCGTCTTGCTTTGGTTTATGAACATTTTCTCCCTCACAAAATAGGGGCCCTTTATATAAATATATCAACAGATTGTGGAACTTAAGAAACCGTTTTGGTCAAAGCGCTCACCTGTGTGGAGAGCCGTGTTAAAAGCAACTCCTCATTCGACTTCTTTTTCCCTACCAGGCAGTGCTTTGTTAGATAAAATACTTTATACTCATCCTTAGACAAGCTCCAAAACATCGGATAAAGAAGAGTATTTTAAGACAGAGGAGTCATCAATTTGCCAGGAACAAAATCGACGTTTTTATCTGACTTGCTCGTTCATATTTGCCGTGCTCAGCTGTGTTCATAAAACTTAATACAATTTATGGATCTGGGGTTCTGAGTAAGAACAGGCAACCGGTATGGTTACGACACTTGATAATATGTAAATGATAAAATAACACGCTCATAGCCTTAGGCGTATCACTTAGTAACGTATCATAAATATTCAATATCAAATTTCATGTTATAATCGATATAAAATGCACGAAGACAAAAGCTTTTTTCCACTTTAGGGGAAGAGGAGAAGACGTAGGAACAAACTCCCTTCCTTGTGTTTTTCTTGAAACTCATTCAAAAATAACCTGGCGTCAGGTTAGGGATAATCAGAGATAGTCAAAGGGTTCTTTCCCAATGAAAGTACCGTTCTACGTAGATCTGACCAAGGACCTCCACTGAATAGAAGTCCTTGATCGGCCTAACTGATACTGTCTTTGGAAATGAACCCCCTAACGAAGGCTGGCTGTACTGCGTGACGCCACACGAGATGAGAAAACGTTAGAGAATGTGGGTGAGGTTGGGGTACTCTCTTAGCATAAGGATGAACTTCTGTGGGCCAGGATTGTCGCCCTAGATAGCAATACAAAAATGACACGCAAAATGTTGTGAAAAAAGTTGCGCAAAAGCGTGTGATTCTACAAAATTGAGAAAACCACCAACAAAATATCGTGGATAACTTCCAGCATTTTTATTCGTTGCCGCACCACCTAGCTAGTCTGGCATTTTTTTAACCCCATTATCCTCTATACCTTTTGAAATCTGCTGAATTTTACGCTAGATTGCTACACTCTAGGCTTTCTCGGACGATTCCCATTGGGGAGTGAGGATAGAATGATTGTGTTAGTAAGATGCGGAACACCTGACGCAATACACAAGGTCCGGTGTCAAGCACGCTGGAGTTCCCATTGATTTTTACAGGTAACAACCGCTTTAGAGTTTTGCTCCACTAACGTTACACTTACCCTAGTTTGTATGGCACTAGCTCTTAAAATTAAAATGAACAATAACAACAAAAACTAAACGAAATAGTAATCAAATAATTCAGTGTTTGATTTAATTCATAGTTATCTTGATGTAATTATACACTTTCCACTGTTACAATACACAAATAAATTAAGAGGAAAAATGCTCTTGCTTTCCTAAGAAATGTTCCAATTATATAATGGTAAACCTACAAGGAAATATCTTTATAAATGGCATATGATATATTATTTATTGGTGTACCCTAAAACGGATATCTTTTTTTTTTCTTTTTTCAACATTGGACTGAGACAAAATTGTCACAAGAAACAGGTTCCCTGCTGATTCTTGACAATATGTAAGAGTTCTGAGTATTGAAGTACGAGTTTTGAGTATTCAATGTTATTACAGATAAATAAAATATCATTGAATCATAAACAAGTTACTTGTGCACAGAAATAAGCTAATAACATAATGCATAGATAATTGAAAGTCGAATTTTGTAGAAATAATCAAAAATCAATCAAATGTTCCATAAATAATTGGAACAATTGATTCTTTCATTAATACTGGTAACAGAAAAATCAACCAATTAATCCCTTCTTAAATAAATAAATAAATAAATAAATAAATACGCAGAAATTATGTTAATGGTGAAAACTAACATAGCCCATGGAACACAAAAAATGTTCTCACATCATTCCAATGTTCTATTTATAACTGCTCACAAGACGAAGAACTGCTTTTAGCAAAACATGGACCACATCACAAGTTTAACGTACGACTGAGCTACACAAACACCATCTGATTGGTGGAAAAAAAGACAAGCACTTAATACAACCACTAACTGGGCCAGATTTCTTCTTTTTAAACTTAAACTTGGGGGGAGGCAGACTATCCTCTGATAGGACAGATTCATTCAAAACTGCATAGGGGGCTGCAGCAGTGAAATCAGAGGCTCCTTTGAACGAGACCGTATACACTGATGATTGAGGAGACTGGACCGTGGGGCTGAAATAACAGGTGCCTGGCTGTAAACAAACACTCGACTGTCCACATTCTTGAAAAGAAGCATTATTATTCTCACATGCTCTGTTCTGTGAATTCAAACGGGCAAGAGTAGGTTTCTTGCCTTCTCTAGGGGGTGTTGTGGTGAGATCTCTAAGTTCAAAATCATCTCGCCAAGTATCTGGCTCTTGCTTTTTGACACTGTCTGACTGTTCTTTACGGACACTAGATGGCGTTGATGTTCCTTTTGGTGGTGACACAGGTGGTTTGATACGAATACGGCCGCTGTTGGATGAGGGTGATGATTTGACATCCGACTTCGATTTCCATTTGAAAAATGTCCATTTCTTTGAATCATCATTAACACCGTCACCACCATAATTGCCATCTTCTTCTGAATTAGAGGAACTTGTGAAAGGAAAAAATTAAAAGGAAAAATATCAAATCAAATGTTATCAAATTTTCTCAAATTTTCCAGTTAATCTATATATAAATAATAATTATTCATAGCCATTTAAGTTAAGCAAAGTTAACATTATTTTTCAGCTAATGCCTAAGGAAAAAAATCAGCAAAACAAGGTATGACAGAGATAAATGATTTAGTAATAATTCAAGTTACAAGGTGATTTTTGATGCAAAGATGTCACACAAACCACATTTTCAGATAAAATATTAGACATACTGAGCTTAATAATGCATACTGAAGGAAATAATGATAATAACACTAATTATTAATACTGGTAAAAATGCTATGTACGCAAACTCTCCTTACTAAAAAATCAAGTGTTGTCTATATTAAATGCATACCTGTTGCTCTTAAGAGCTGTCCTCATCTTGTTGCCCTCTCCTAGTACTACAGGGTCGTAGCAGTGCCTGAGCATCATCTCCTCAACCACGGGAAGCACAAAGGACTGGATGTAGTCAATGACAAGATGGCCACTGCAGGATTCCAGACCCTCCGATTCTGCTGTGTGTTCTTGCCCTGACAATTGATATTAAAATTAGAAAAATGATTATTAATTGACATTAATTGAAATTGGGCTTTTATATTCTAGGACATTCACCCTGCAAATGGTCTTTTACTGAATGTTGTTTATTGATCAACAATACTCTTCATTTTAAATGCCATAACTGTATTTAAAAAAAATGTTATTTCCTCCTCACTGTTCACATCATAATTATCCTGCTGATACTGGAAATTGCCAGCAGGAAATTTCCTCATGCAAAAACCACAAAGCTTTGCTTAAAAAATGTATGTACACTTATGCAAAAATAGCACTTGCCGTAAAAGGTTTACTCACAGTTTGAGTAGAATGAAAATATGTAAAAAGTTGCACAAGAATCAGTTGAAATGTATTGATTTGTGATGAAATTTCACTGTGACTAAATGTGCCTAAAATCATTTTACAAACTCATTTAATTGAAAACTCTGTCAACAGAGTTTATGTTTTGAATTTTGAGGTCAAATTAAATAAAAATACTGAATATATTGGAAGAGGTGACTGGTTTCATGCGCACTTACAGTATGGCATGCGCATGCAAACACTGACATGCGTGTGCACAAACATGCATTCACACATACACACATCAGCTGAGACACATATACGTACTGTACACACACACATGCACTTACATGTACCTTCCTTGCCCAGCACCTGTGCGGGTGAAGATGTCGTCACCGATGTCAAATTAGAGGTGACATTTGACAGCGCTTTAATTGCTGGCCGCACTACATCCAGGTTACTCTTGTGTCCGTTGATGGCTCGTAACAGTAACTCTGCTCCACTCTCCCCAACAGCTGGCTGGAATTTACGAGAAATAGACAGGACTTAAGTCTACTTCAAAAAACACTGATCCTGACTAACCTCTATCAATCCCAAACCATGAACTAGTTTAATTCAATCATCACTTGTAGTGAACAAAATGCCATTCCTGTGATTTATGTCGGAAATTATCCATATACATGTAATTAAGTGTCTTGAATTAGCAGGTATAATATAATTGGTAACTCTTTCTATTTGCAAACTTTGATGTATTAAAAATGCCCTTCAATTAGAGACTATTAATTTTCAAAATACAGTGAATCATGAATTGAACCCCCCCCCCCCCACAAAATAAAAAAAAATCTTTTTATGTACAGACACAGATGTGTCTGTACATATAGCCATCATCTGCGTCTGTCGTCGCCGTCGCCGTCGTCGCCGTCGCCGTGCACTTTTACCGATAACACGATAAGTGGAAAACTGTTTTTTCTTTTGGCTTGAAACTTACAGAACTGATGAATATTCGTAATACGCAGGTCAAGTTCGAAAATCAGCATGATCGGGTCGCTTATAGGGAATTTATGCGTTTTTTTTCACTTTTTTCAGCATATATGCAGCCCTGATAACATGATAAGTGAAAAATCATTTTACCTTTTGGCTTGAAACTTACAGAACTGATGAATATTCATAATACGCAGGTCAAGTTCGAAAATCAGCATGATCGGGTCACTTATAGGGAATTTATGCTGTTTTTTCCCTTTTTTCAGCATATATGCAGCGCCGATAACACGATAAGTGGAAAACCATTTTACCTTTTG